TTTACGGCTATCCCAACATGGCCGATGAGGAGCACGGAGTCCCGGGGGAAGAGTTCGCAGCACAAGATCAGTTGCCAACGGCACAAGCTGCAAGAAGCAATCCTACACAGGAGATCTTCCATGATGAGATCACGTTCCCAAACACCAGTGGCATTGATCGTTCTATCAAAGCTGCAGTGGCCAGAATGCACCGCAACATGGGACACCTCTCCCCTTCAGAGCTCTTCAAGCTTTTGGCGCTGAATGGGATCACAAGTGATCATGTGATAAAGGCGACCAGGGCTATGAGTTGTGCATCTTGTCAAAGGGCCAAGACTCCTACAGCGCCCAATCCTGCAGCACCACCACAATATTTGGGGCAGTTTGCTGACAACCTTCAGGCCGACATATTCTATGCCAGGGATTTGACCTCAAAGAACTATCCCATCCTTGGTGTCATTTGTGAAGCAACACATCTTCACTCGGCCATCAGGTTGGAATCAAGACAGCCCTCACATGTTGCACAGGCATTGAGAACCGCCTGGACTCGCAACTTTGGCTACCCACTCCGGTTAGCCGTTGACGATGATGGAGCCTTCAAGTCAGACTTTCACGAGTTCTGCGATGGAGGAGGCACTCATTTGGAGTTCATACCACCTGAAGCACATCACAAGCTGGGTGTCATAGAAAGACACAATGGCACTCTCAGGATGTTGATCGAAAAGATCGTAGACAGCATTCCATGCACCTCGGCAGAACAGCTGGACAACGCTATCATGAACTACGTCAAATGGAGGCGCACGATTGACGCCATCTCAGGAGACATCATCTTTGAGGGCATCTTTGATAGCTCCACTGAGGATGACGAGAAATGGAACTTTGGCGAGTTCAAGGACACTGTCACAGAGCTTTGGTCGTCCACGCCACCAGCTGAGACCACCACCTTTGAGGTCTTTGAGGACGGCGTGAAAGAAGTCGAGCTTGGCTGGGACGGTTCATCGGAAAACCCTTTGCCACCCAGCAAGAGCTATTACAAGATATATGCTACATCGTTGGCCCAAACAGTTCAAGACAACAGCAGTCGGCCTAGTGACACGGAGACCGACGTTGAAGACTTCTCCCAGGGCCATCCGGCCAAACTCACCAGACAGGAGCAGAAAGCCATAGAGAAAGAACTGCACTGGAAAGAGATCATGGCACAATCTGACGACTACATCGAGGAGTTCGTCAAGGCCACGCAGAAGGAAGAGGCGAGCTTTTTGCAGTGGAAGACCTTGAAACCGGTTCCTCCAGATGAAGCCCAGAAGATCCTCAATGATCCAGTGTTGAGGAAGAGGGTCATTTCGAGCAGAGCTTGCTACCGGGACAAGAACAAGAATGTCCCACCTTTGCGTGCAAAGACCAGGATCGTCGCCAGAGGCAATCAGGATCCCGACTTGAGGTCTTTGACCAGGCAAGCAGCTACGCCCAGCAGAGTCTCAGAGATGCTGACCTTCGTCAGTTTTGTCAGCGGATTGCATGGCAAGGCTTTCAGATCACCACAAACCTGGAGGCTTTGGTGTGGGGATGTTGCAACGGCCTTTCTTCAAGGCCAGCAGGATCCTTCGGAGCGCGCTGGCAAGTTGTATCTCAAGGCTCCAGTTGACCCCATCATCAAGAGGGCAAAGGCATTTACAAGCACATTGTATGAGATTGTTGGTAACCTTTATGGTTTGAGCAACGCACCATACACATGGGCCTGCGAAGTCACATCGAGGTTGGAGAAGCTTGGGTTCCGCATTCACAGCTTTGACAGCATGATGTTTTATTATGTTGATCCAGCTTCAAACTCACCCTGCGCAGTGCTCATTTGCTACGTTGATGACTTTTTGGTTACATTCAATCCAGCCTTTCCTTTCGAAAAGTTCTTGAATAGCTTCAAGTGGGGTGCACAGCAGTTTCTTGAGGAAGGAAAACCCTTGACTTTTAAGGGGAAGGAATTGCACCTCGAACGCACTGGAGCAGTTCAGACTTTACGCATTGTTCAGCAAACCTTCATCAAAAGCATCGAGAAGGGTCGTGTTGACAAAGGGCTCAAGAAGAGTGATTTGTTGGACCCACGGCATTGGCCAGAGTTCCGTTCGATCAGCGGTTGCCTGCAGTGGCTTGCAGGGCAGTCTCGTCCCGACATTGCTTCGAGCATCTCCCTGTCGAATCGAGGCCAGGAGACGACATATGCCGATCTCGATCATTTGTACAAGACGCTGGACTATGTGCAGGAATCTTCAGAGTTGGGACTGAGGATTTTTCCAGTTCCGGTGGATGACAGCTCAGTCATCATGGCTTTCAGTGACGCCAGTTGGGCGAATGCACAGGGATCAGCCAGCCAGCATGGCTGCCTTTTGTTTGTTGCACCGGCCACCATTACCGAAGCCCCCTGTCATGGAGCAATCTGCGATTGGAAATCAGGGCGTTCAAAACGCGTTTGCAGGTCAACGCTCGCGGCCGAGAGTGTAGCAGCAGATTCAGCTGCAGATCGCATAGCTTTCTTGCAGTACAGCCTTGGTGAGCTGATTTTCCTAGAGCCCGCCCACAGAGTGGGTCCCAGACTCAGGGCCATTTTGGCCACAGATTGCAAGAGCCTTTTTGATAGCATCACCGCTCCCAATCCAACCGTAGAAGACAAACGGAGCTTGGTGAACATACGTTCAATCCAAGAAGTGATCAGCAGGCATGCGATCCATTGGGTTCCCACTCGACTACAGCGAGCCGACAGCCTCACGAAGATCTCTGAAGATCTGAGGCGAGAGCTCTTGGAGTGGTTGCAGAAGCCGCTCATTCAGTTGAGGGAAGTGACAACAAGGTCAAAAGAAAAGTATTCCAGTGTGAAAGTTGAGCATGGTTAGCATGTACCCACTTGACCTTGTCGCCATGATACCTCCTGAACCCGCCGGGCATCAGGGCCCGAGCCAACCTTTGCTTTCCTGAAGGGAAAACCGTTGCGCGTTGCGCCATGTTTGCTTTTGGTTGCACGCATCGATAGTCGCCCGGTTTCGTCGCACACGGGTCGACTAGACTATAAACTTCCTTATGTTTAAGATGACGTTCATGAACAAATTGAAGAGATGTTCTCAGGCCCGTTGCTTAGGGCAGGGCGGGCAGGGCTTCTTTCCCGGAACGCTTGGCTGCAGTGGACGGGGATAGTTACTTGGTGTGGCTATAGCTGGCTGCAAGTCATTCCTCATGCAGCAAGTCATACGGGTTCATTTCAGATCCCTGTCAGTGGGTCCTCAATGGGCTGAGCAAGGGCTCAGGGCTTCCTACAGCAAAACATGAGGAGACTCAATGCAGCGACATGGTCACTTCAAGGGCTGCACAACAGGTGTGCCAGCCCCATGGGCCCATGTTCATATAGTTTGGTTCTTCGCCCCACGTGTTGGAGAATCCTTCAGGATGTTTCAGGTCCCTTCAGGATGCGACGGAACACCGGCCGAAACCGAGAGCGGACCAACCGGACGCGTCGGACCTCTCGGTCTCGGTCTCGGACGGGGCCATCGTTCGGGCCGCTGCTTGAACTCACTTGTTGGGCCGCCCAAAGTCACCCAGAGCAGGGGTGGGACAGGAAGGCTCGACCACTCAGGTTAAGAAGTTGAATGTGATGAGGAGTCAGCTTGTACTCAGACAGTGACTGGTGCTCGAACCGGGCTAATTCAATGGAACGCGCGGCTCATCTCAAGCGTTTCAGCTTGGCATGAGGCCGAAAACAAAATCAGGAGCTGCCTTGAAGTGCCAGAATCTCGGGTTTTTGCAACAGAGGCAAGAACATGATCAATCCATAATCCCGTCCGTGTATGGAATATGTATCATAAACTACATTTGTATACCTACAATATCCTACAATGCTACAATATCTTACATTGACCCTTAATATCTTACATTGACCCTTAATATGACTTAAAATCAGCCCACTGTCGGCAAACCTTCCATACATGGATTGTTGGGGAACATCATGAACTCTTGCGGAAAGGCTGAAAACGATTTTCTGGCACCGAAGTGCTGGATCCTGCCCCTGACCTGTCAACAAGGACAGGTGACAGAAGACTTACAATGAAGTAGCGTAGCTGCGTAGCTTGAGTCAGGCGCGTGATCCAGAGATGAATGGTAAAGTTTGGCCATGCCAGCCTGTTGTGGCACAATTTGAGGGTCCCTTACTTACTATGCCTTGTTGTGGTCCATGTAGAGTGGAGTGCTATGATCTTCGGCAAGTCATGCTGCGCCGCAGGGCAATGAAACGGGGCGAATGTTCTGCGCATTTCTTTTCGTTTCGTTTCCAGCCGTAGATTTAGTAGGAGACTGGAAAAAGAGCAATCACTGATGATGACTCAAATCTAGAATCGATCACGTGCCTTTGACGACAGATGTGGATGGAGCGCGCATAGAATTGTTGCCTGCAAAAAGTTTCAGAGCAACCATCATCCTGTGGGGTTGTCCTGGCTAGACTACCCTGCCCTACTTGCAGGTCTCCAGACAGGGCACCCATTGGAAGTGCTAGGAATCAATCAATCATGTGATGCCCTTCGCATCAGATTGGGCCACCAGAGGGGTGAACGGACAGAAACCAAACGTGGGTGGCGCAGTAGCCAAGAGGGCCAAGATCTTGACGACGTTGGTTGGGTCAATCAATTGTTATTCCATTTGCATCCGTTGGTTGAACTCAATGAAACAGCGCAATCATCCTTAAACGACTGCAGCAAATGTGGATCCGGGTGTTTGTAAAGGTTTCTCCACCTCCTCCGCTTTGGTTCGTGAGTAGGCGCCTAGACACCGAGAGCTACATGATCCGTGATTTTGTGTTTGAATGAGCCAGGGTATGCTAGACCTACTAGACTTACTAGACAAAGTGTTCAGTAAAGAAATGCAAAAGCAGAGCTGAAAGAGATTCTCCTTGTGTGCCTGACCCTGTGATGCATATGTGTATTGATCGGCTCAAGATTTTCATTGGCCAAATTTGCAGAGTGTTGGCAGAATTGACGGTCTTACCCATGACTTTGACTTGCATCCTTGCGGCATGGCTGATGCAGGTGTTTGCAGACGGAGCGAGCGACACATCCAGCCGGACGCATCTCAATTGTTGTGCTAGCTGCACGGATTTTTGCTCTCCTGCCAGTGGCAATTGCTATGAGAAGAAGGGTAAGGACTACTACCTGGAGTGCAGCACAAGGAGTGGAGATGAGGCGTGCCCGTCCGGCTATGGGAAGCCCGCGGGGAGGCCCAGCACGGGGTTCGCTCGGTGCATGGTGGGGGCCCAGGGTGCATGACTGGTGAACATCCCATACTAGAATCTTCAAGAGGACCGAGGTTCAACACCCAGACACGACCTGTCTGGGACTGGCAAGGAACCTCCCCCTGATAAGGATTTTAAGTAGTTTAGTATCAAGGCTCCAGCTGGGCTTGATTAATAGGGGGGGGTTGGTTAATCCTATGTTGACATGATTTACCGATCAGTGGACCTCCCTGGCACACCCGTTTTGAAGGCCGGTCAGTTCACCGGGTGACACCGGAGTGAGCCGAGGTGAAGGGCAGTCCTTGCATGATTTGCCCTGAGGGCACTTGGAGTTCAGAGGGCATGGAGCTTTGCCAGAGATGCCGCTGGGCTTTGATGGGACCTCCAGAGATCGTTGCAGTGCAATAAGAGGAAGGTTGCATGGCGAAGAAAACTATTCTTCAAAGATCTTCAAAGATCCGTTCAAGAATGGTTGACCTGGCCTTGTAGTGTTTAACCTTGAGTACAACAATGGTTCTTGGGCAACGTCTATCAGTGATGGTTCGAATTCTAGGATAACATTTGAGTTTGTAGCCCTCAATAGGGTCGTTGACATGGACCTAATTGTACATATATAGATAGTTATGAAGAATCATTTTTCTGTATTTGTTACGCATCGCTGATTAGGGTTCCAACGATGGCCATCACGTTTTTAAGACATGTCCATGTTTGATTGATCTACAATCTACAATGTGAGGAGGCTATGAAAGAACTGTCATTTAAAGTCTATAGATGGCGTTTGGTGGGCATACTGTGTCAAGACATGGTGTTGTCCAATTGGTTTCTGTGACTGCTGCACAGCCCAGGCTCAGCTGGAAGCTGGAGTGACCAACGGGGACGAAGCAGCAAAGAGCAACTCGGGCCACCAATCGCATTGGTTGGATCATTTTGCCGTGTTTGACTGGGCCCCTTTCTTGGATCTGGGGCCTATGAACCTAAGGACTGGTTAGCACCAGAACCAAGAAGGAAGAACGAACCAGTGAATGACCTGGCTTGGATGTGACAGTGAGGAAGTCCTTCCATCCAACAATCATGCAAGAATCATGCAAAGAATGGACAGCCCTCTGCAAAAGGCCACGCTGCTAAGGCCAAGGATGGATTCTATCCACTTAAAATTGGGGATTGGATGAATGGCATATTTGCCCTCATTTTGCCCTACATTTGGGTGGTTTTGAGATGCTTTAAGGTGAATATTTCAGTCGCATGGTCCGAATGATTGCTATGGATGGTCCGGATGATTGTTGGATGGAAGGTAGGATCGGACTCCTGGCTGGTTCCACCAGTCAACCGGGGCAGCGACGACCCCAACTGGGCAGCGATCCTTCGTCTTGGTCTCTCAAACTGGTCACGGCTCGTATGTTTCAAGCATACCCGGTATGGTCATGTATGGTCCAACAATCTTACAAGGTGGATAGCTGCGGCCCTGCAGGAATCGTGACGAACTCCTCTAGTCCTCTAGTCAACAGAAACTTACATAAGGTACTAAGGTTTTCAGGTGTTTTTTGTTCAATGTTGTTGGAGGGTATGGCAGAACATGGGATGGACAGACTCATTCACGGAACGAATCTTCCGAGTGGCTACTGCTTTCGGCGCCCCCTGTTTGCAGCAACAAGATGCCCCCGGATGCCCCAAAGAAAAATGAAAGCAATTTGGGGATTATGCCATGTCACTGTTCCATTCAGTTTACGAAGCAGACGAGGGATTGATCAAACCATCGTGGCGACACTTGGACTCTCGCGGAATGTGCTTTGACATCTCGAGACCTGCACGGACAGTCAGCGCGTGACAACCCCAGGGCCGCCATTTGATAGTGAAGGGAAGGCACCATGAAACACAGCCGAAGTATTGGAGTCTCGAGCTTGGCCGCCTTGGCCTTGGAAGGGGCGGCCTGTAGCTACAGGGTTTCTCAACATCTAATGTGAGGACGCACAACCATTCTGGAGACGGGCGGGTTATGAATTGTCTAAGACTTGATCCTTGGTCAAAGCTGAGGAACTGCATTCAGTGCCCTGTGGGAACTTGGAGCAGCCAAGAGGGTGCCATCTCCCCTGAGGCCGGATGGGACACCACATGTGACTGCCGCATCCTACTTCGGAAACCTGTCAGTAGCCATAGGTGAGGCGCTTTCAATACATGGTTTCCAGCAGGGAACATCTCTTTAGACCTAACTCACCCATCCATTGAGTTAGGAAGCACTGTGGGGCACCGGTGGTTCTTTGGGCCGTAGTTCTCAGACCAAGGGATGGGTCAGTTCTCCATGTGGAGGGGTGCTCCTTGAAGGGGACTATGTTCATTTGAAACCTGTGTTAGATGGTTGGTATCAATCAACTGGGTCCAGTGGCTCATTGCTGCCTATTCAATAAAACACATGCCACTGAAATACATACGTTGCTGACTGCGGAGACAGCGGCCTTGGACCCATCCGGTCGGGGGCGCGGCCTGTGATTCACCAGGTCACTGGTGAGAGCTCACAGTGGGTCGAAAAAACAACGGAAACCTGCTGGTCGCACCTTCCTGTCAGGGTCACCGGTCACTACACTACCTCTCACCATCTCTGGGCACCCCATCGACGCACCGAAGGTCCAGGTGTTTGTCGTGTTTTTCTTCAGTGGGTGACACCGAAAACAGCGTCCAGGCTATCAGAGTTCGCCACACCGTGAGGCCTGCCAAAAGTGCCCAGCGGGCCATTGGAGCAACAGGACCACGAGGGCACTCCACTCCGGGGCATGTGCCACACGGTTGTGATCAGTACACAAATATATCAGAATGTTTGAAGCTGTTACTGCTAATGGGATAGACCCAACGATGCTTCATCCCGAGTCGATAGGTTGATAGGTCAGTGAGTATAGTCACTGGTCATCCTTGCACTGCTGCATTTGGGATTGGAGGCCAGTCCGCACTGCGCACGTTCCGATTCGTCAAAGCAGGCCGTCAAGCAGGTCTCCTGTTCCAGGAGAAGCTGAGTATCAAGGACTCCCAGCCTTGGTGAGTAGACTCATGTAGACTCCCAGCCTTGGTGAGTCCGCGAAGCCCGGTATTTCATAGACACATCACTCAATGAATGCCAGGATAGAATTTCAACATATTTCAACCCAACGCGGTTAAAATGAGATCCCTTTGATCCAAACCCCTTTGATCAAGTCCAGACCGGAGGTTGAGTCGTTCCTGGACCTGGGCATTGTCCCTAACAGGGAAAGGGAGACGATTGGTGCATGGATCGCAGAGGATCGATCATCTGCTAGGCCTGCTAGGCCCGTGTCCGCTGTACCCAGATGCTCCTGGACCTGTGCCACCATCGGAATTGATCGGATTTGAAGGAATGTGGCTGTCAGTTCCACGGAGTCTTTGGGCATCTCATTGAACCACCTGGTTCATCCTGGTTATTAAGATGATTCTTTTAACTTCTATTTTCCCCATGGATAAGATCCCCCTCCGGCAAAAAGAATAGACCAGCAGGATGCATCCATCGCCAGGACCGGCTTGGGTGCCATCGGCGATTGCCAGGTCTGCCCAGCAGGCACCTGGAGCTCGGACGCGGGCGCGACCAGCGCGCTGCTTGGGTGGAAAGTCATTTGATGCGTCGAATGTGTCGGCCTTGATGTGGATCTATATAATTATAGGAGAATGTCGGAGATGTCCTGGATTCACTTGCTAGGTTACTAGGTCGAGTATGCCAGAGTCAGCTACTTCCGGGAGTTGTGAAAACACCAAGTGGGAGCTACGCCTCTTTGTTCAAAGCGTGTGAGGGTTTGCTGGATCCTTCTGCCTTCTTGTTGTCTATTTTCCGATATAGGTCACTGTTCCTGAAAACACCATGACCCGCTACAAGGCTTGGCCGTTTGACAACGCCCAAGGGCAGGCTCATATCGAGCTAAGAGTTTGCCGGTCTGAATTTCTCCTCCAGGCAACCACCAGGACCCACAAGGAGGTTTTTTTAATTGTGATTGACCAAAGCCAAAAAATAAAGAATGCTCGTGGCTGGTAGCTAACTAGGGAATGGTCCACGTTTTTGAGTAGCGCAGTGCAATACTTCGAGGTTTATGTGATTCCTTCTCTTGGGTGGTGCTGTCAGATACAAATGTTCAACCTTTGCATGGGATGATTGATCATGATTGATCCCACTGACTGACTAATTTGTTCAAGTCGGTTGAAGCCACCAAGCAGTTAGTGGAAACCACCAAGCGGTTTCTTTTGTTTGTGGTTTGACCCAGTTTAGCCCTCTATCGTTGCTCCCTCACGACGGCTGTTTCGGCTGCGGGGCCGGTGCAGCATTTGCTGCGCTCAGGAAGACTTGCGTGAAATGCGGCAAGGGCAAATGGAGCCCACAAACCGCGGCCGTGTCGGAGGAGGCAGGAGATGGCTTCGAGGGTTGCTCACTCAACCAAAAATGCACCAAGATACACCTAGTGAAGCAGCACCAAGCTGTCAAAACGCTTCAAGATGATTCAAGCAGTTCCTGCATTCCATCATTCCTAGTACAAATTGCATGAAGAGTTACCCCTGTCCAAGAATTGGCGGACGGGAAAACCGGAAAAACTCCAGGACATCAGGAAAGTGGTTTTCACCCCCGAAAACTCTTTATGGGTTTCCTGTAGGCATTCCCTTAACCTCATTCTAAAATGTTAGGATCCAGCTGTTTGTTAATGATGAACAGAACCTAAACACACGCCGTGCATTATGTTTTTTCTCATGCGCAGGCCTGCGTGAGCTGCCATCCAGGCCGGTACAATGCCCAGGCGTGCAGACTTGGTACATTTGGCATTCAAAATCGTCATGCATTGTGTTTTTTTGGGTTTATCAGATCCACCAAGCTTCAGGATCGGAGGTGGTTTGACGCTTTCGCCCCCCCAACCACGCTCTCGCTTCCCGCCGGATCCGAACGACGGATCCGCGTCGGATGCCAACGGATTCGCCCTCCGTGCACGTACGTGGCATATGTAGCTGCTATCGCTGCAGCTCAGGAGGGTGCCAGCTCTCATCTCAGTTGCCTGCCCTGCCGTGCTGGCACCTACAGCAGCGCGTCAGCTGCCACGGGCCCTGAGGCGGGTTACGGTGCTATAGACCATGATCCAAACACTCCATGTGTGACATATTTGCCTACATTGGGGTGGTTTGCCTACATACAAGGGGTAAGTTAAGTATTCCATACATGGAGGGTTTGGGTGAGAGAACCCTGGGTTGTTGGCAGAGCTCAGATCGGCCATCATGTTGAGAAACTCTCAAGATAGACCCTGTTCGATTTGCAACACTTTCGCCGCGACCACATGAACTCCGCCTGTCAAGAACCATTCAACTTCCGAACTATCTTGGGCTATATGGCTGCGTTTTTCGGATGTTGGAGGCTACTGTTGACTTGCGTGGCTTCCTTCCCCTTCCTTCCAGGCCTGTGTGGCTTGCGCCGTGGGCAGCTTCAGCCCGGGCTTCGGGGCCGTTTCGAACAAGACCTGCTCAAGGTGAGATCACTCCAGCGGAGCCTTTTTTAGGGGGAAAACGAGGCGGATATAGAGATGACATGCGGACTTGGGGGCACTCTTCGGTGAAAAGGTCATGCGGAACGTGCACCTCAATGGGAACTGTTCTAGCTCCCCTAAAGAGGGATCGAGTCGTACCTTCTCCTCAGGAGAAGGTACGACTGGTGGCTGGACCCTGGCACCGTCTCATATCAGTGTCGAAGACATCACCTGACAAGGTGCTTGGATCCCTAGGGTAGTTGGGGTTCAGGTGATGTGATACGGACACCTTCTTCTACGGAACTGTTCAGTGTGCAGTGTGTTTGAACAAACCACGAAGCTCCAGACGTGCACGGACGCAGATTCGGTCCGCTGGCTCATGACTGGCTGATTTGCGTCACTTCAACGTGGGAGCGTATACCTCCAAGGGGGAGGTCGTTGGAAGGAGGAAGGGCTTGATGATTGAAGGGATTCTGAGGGGAGTAGAGAGCAGCCATATTGAGATCATCCCCCCCAAGATAAAATCTTACAAGTGCCTGGTGCCTAGTAACCCGTGAACTTCCTGAACATCCGGGTGTGTGTCCAAATGTGAAGGCCACATGCCTTCAGCTCTGATGTTCGAATGGCAGGAAGGTGCCGATGGAAACACAAGAATCCCGAATCCCTGGTCTTACTGTTTAGAGAGAAATCCATCCGCTGGCATAGAACGACCTTCGGAAAAGGCATAGAACGACCTTTGCAGTGATCAATTGGTATCGGTGTGTTTGACAGCCGTGGGATGATTTTGCTGTCAAAGTGAAGGGTGATGAGGGGGGAACTTTGACTCAACTCGATACACCCATAATGTGTAGACTTGTTACTGCTAAAACCCACCAAGTGAATTCATATATAGTGGGGGGGGGGCTGGGGGCTTTAATATAGTCAAGAGTCAAAGAGTCGAATTGAATTATATACTTGGAAGATCTTGGACCTCGTGAGGTTGAGACACATAAGATATCTTAGTCCTACCTCCAACGGTGCAGGTGTCCCCCCGGGACTTGGAGCGACACCATGGCCGCAAACAGCCAGAGCAGCTGCCGGGCCTGCCCGACTGGCACCTACAGTCATGCCAAAGGCGAAGTTGTGATGCGAAAGACCAGGGCTCAAGTCCACAGACATAACTCCAAAGTCTACCAGTTTGGGGGCATTGCTGGCAATGTCATCCTCTTCTGCCCTACGGTCGGTGTGGCAAGCAAACGCCCAGAATGCCTTCTTCATGACTTTTTTCAGGATCTGCTGTGCATTCAACGTGCACGGGCTTTGTTTTAGGGAAACACCTCTTCGGGTGCACTCCTCACGACCCGAAAAACGCGCCCAGGGGCGACCAGTGCGGAGACCTGCTGGGCGTGTCCCAAGGGCACCTACCAACCAATCCGCGCCGTGACATGGCGGGAGCTAGTGTCCACGCGTTTTGGGGAGGAGTGCCAGGGTGGAGGAGGAGGATGTCAATTTGGAGGATTGAATGTGGATAGGGCTTTGGTTTGTCCTATTTCCTGTAACACTCAGTAAACAATTGACAATTATCATCATATTTGAACAAGGCCTTTACTAACCATCATCATCCGCTAGGCCCGGGTAATAGGATAGACCCAAGATAGGACCATGTGGATGACTGTAGATGATGTGGAGATAGATGAAAAGGATGGTCAGGATGGTCAGATTCGAGAAGCTTTGAGTTGTAAGATGGTGGAGGTACGGAGTATGGTCGGAGGTACGGAGTATGGGAAAGGAGCTGATGATTCTTGGCTGTGCCTCTAAGCCACAGTGCGCTTCGACCATGTTATTCCTTGAATTGCGGGCTTCGGCCCAGCTATACGGGCAGCAGTTCGGGGGTGTTAAGGATTGTTAAGCTGTTGTTTTAGCCAGAGACGAAAGGACCGCATTGATGGGGAACAGCAGCTTTGCGCGAACTTGCGTGGGATCCAACGTTGGTGGCTGGACTGGTCTTTGGTGATTAACATGGCTGCGTGACCATCCTCGTCAATCAATTTGTACTTTGCTGTGCACAGCTCCAAAGCTAGATCTACTAAAAGCATACAAATGTCCAATTCTTCATGGGTGCCAGAGGCCACAAGAATTATCGCTCAAGATCCACCGTGTAAGAATCCCACCGAGCTGAGCTGAGCTTGCGACCCCCGCCGAGCTCGCATCCAGGCGGGCGAGGAGGCCCTATGCATCCCCTGTGCGGTGGGGAACTACAGCGACCAGCTGGGGCAAGCGAGCTGCCGGTTTTGCCCCAAAGGTTCGGTGAAAGACGGCTCGATGCATGATAGACTGAGAGACGATCGATGCATGATTAAGAATGATCCAACCACTGGAAGACTTGAGAATCCTTTTTCTTGAACTGTTGCTTTCAATTTGATGGTAGCTTGAGCCCGCGTTGAAGCAGATGTCGATGCAGTTTCATGCCTGGCTCAAGTGCTGCCCAGCCCACAAAATACACCAGAAAGAAGACCACATGTAAAAAAACAATCAACGCTTATCGTTTTCTAGTGTTCCCATGTTTTTGCTCCATCCTTGGTGGAAAACGGCGCCTCTTTGCACCAACGGCAGGTTTCTACGGCGACGGCTTTGGGTTGACGGCCTGCCACTCTTGCCCCGAAGGCTCCTCCACCGCGCAGGTCGGCGCCATCCGCGCGGAGCTGTGTCAGTCACTTGGGTGTCGAGTTTGGTTGATTTTTGGGGCGGAAGAGAGGCTGCGCGCAGAGCTGGGACAAAAGGGCAACAAGCACACAACTCTTCATTAATAACACCCCCCATCTTTCCAGAGGTTTTACAATACATGTTTGGGGGGATTTACTCATCAAGAGGCTACATATATCCTGTAAACAGGTCATTGATTCATCTACACTCCCGGAAACTGACGTGGACCCTAGGGTTTTCGCACCCTGACAGATTGTTTTCCTCTACTAAACTGGCCTGGACCAAGTCCTAGGGAGCTCGATGGGACTGGCATCTCTGCCCATGGGACTGGACACCCAAACCACGTAGGTAAATATGCCAGTCCCATGAAGTGTTAGGGTAGCCTAAACCCACAAAGTGGCGATGACAGTGGCTGGTCAGTAATTGCTCCTCTCCTGGCTTTGTTTGTTTCTGCACTCGGCGAGCATGCTGTGGTTTCCAAAGACGTGTCGAGAGTCGAAAGCTGCTAAAGAACTGGGCCAACCAGGCTGCAACTGTACCTTAGTACCCAAAACCTAAGTCAACCAAACGTGTTATGTTTTTTTTTTGAAAACCTCGTGGATTTTCAAGGTAGGTTATTTTGTGAGAGGGTTCTTGAAACCGTCGTTGCGTCAGTTTTGTATTCGACTTCTATGGAATGAATGACCGCATCAGCTCTCGGATGTATATAGATAGATAGTATGTGTTAACCAAGTGAGATTGAAACAAAAACACTGAAAAAAGCATGCTGTTCCCACATCACAAATAGACAACCGCCCAGGAACAGCTCCAAACGTGTTGGTCGGAGGGCAATCGCTGGTTTCAGGAGGCCATGGACTGTCAGTGTGCCACAACTCAGGACACTGCCAATCAAAGGGGACTCCATTTTCCCGTGAGCTCCCCGTGCCGAGAGCTTTTATAGTGGCCGTACGGCCTTTTTCCACGAACGGGTCGCACCCATGAGGATTGTGATTGGACAATGGCGTGTTGCAGTCATGCTGGAACGATCGGTTTGCATGTTGTTCCCCGCAAACTTCCAAGTGTGGTTGGAGACCCAATGCAACGCATGGGCCGGTTCAAGTAACAACGGCTATTCAGTTCAACATCAATGAAGCACATTGTATATACATCGGGCCATCCTTGAGCAACTTGATGGTGTCCAATCAAAGGCAGGGGCCGAGAGAGAGAAGTACGTGTGGGGCCATCGATTGGTAACCTCTTGGATGATCTTGGATACAGGTTCGGAGGCTCTCATGATCAGCTTGGGGGCGACTTGTTCTGGGTGTGTAGGCACTAATCTAATTCAGATCCTGACCCTTCTGATGATACAGATTGCACAGAGCCGGCCAATTCCTACCAGAAAGCCGGAGGTTAGGTCGTTCCAGAAGCGTGCAATAGATGGGAGTTGGCACATGGTACTTACTGCTTTTTCGGGCTGTACATTTCCCTCCAAATGACTATTGTCAGAACAGATACATCAGGACCCATGCATGTTTGTCGAAGTTGGACCCCATGCATCCCCATGCACGAAAAATTACAAACATGGTTAGACGGAAAAGGGTTCTACACCCTGGAAGACTAACATGGAACCTGAAAACCCCTGGTTGGTAGAGGAAAATAGTCTTCCATGGGACCATTGTCAGGGTCTATGTTAGTTTTTGGGAGTGTAGTTCCTTTATCAGCTTTTCTGCCAACATTTCCGTAACCGAATCTGGGTGGGGAAGCATGGGGCAGGGAATTTGGGACGCTTCCGATGATTCCTCCAACCCCATTTGATGTCCAGTGTGACGTTTTCTTCAATGCCGACGTCTAATTAAGCCTTCTATAAACGGATCAGTTCTGGTTCGGCGCGCTTCTGGACACAAAATCAGATGCACCTTTTGGTAGAGCCACACCCAAGTTGCGGCTCAACCGTGGGCACCCAAGTTGCGGCTAGTTCTTGGTGCCATGTAAAGCAAGCATCCCAAAAAGAGCGCTTTCGCTGCTTGCAAAGCAAAAGAGGTGCACGATGAAGCAGGAAGGCAAAACAAAAACATACAAAAACTATCAAGAACTCTAGCCCAACAGAGCAACACCATGAGTGAGAAATGGACTACCCCACAGTACTGATGGGCTTCCACTGGACAGCCCTAGGAACATGTTGGGCACAGGAGCACATCTTCAAGACAATTCATGCGGAGAAGACACCTGGTTCCTTCAAAACATGCTGAGGGTCCAACCTGCTTCTTCAAGACCCCGCGCGCGGCTCCCGGCTCCCGGGCGTCGAAGTCACACGGACCCGCCGGACCTGCGCACGGACCCGCCAGCGGGCGCCGGTCCGGCGACGATGATGCAAGGCGCCACGGAGTGTGGGTGGTGAGAGCGGATTGGATGCTGCAAAGTTGAGATATTTGGCTGGGGAGATCAATCCCAGATGGGATCCACTGCCACCGTAGGTTAGGTACGACTGGGCCCGACCCAGGCGCCTACAGTCTCCAATCACCGTACCTGAGAAGGTACTAGTACTTGGATCCCTAGGGAATGGAAATCATAGATAGGACATCATCATGTTTCTAGATGAATCATATCACTTCCCCTCTCGGATGCGCATTTGGTCTCTCCAAGTGTGCATCTTCTGCAGCGTACCTTGTACCTGATCGGCTGCTGCGCAGCTGCCTATCAGGTACATACCTTTGAATGACAGTTTGTTTTTCTTTAAGACTGGTGATATCTGCTGATAGATGTGATAGTGGGTTTGCATCATGACCTCTCCTTCGCCTTCCGGGATATCGGTGCACTTGTTGTGAGACGTTGGATCGAGATGAACGGACCTGGCAGCCTTCTATCAATCAATGTTCTGAACCCAGAAATGAGTGGTGTATGAATTGACCTCCCAATTCGACCAATCCCCTTGGAGAATAGATCAAAACCCGTGAAATGGGGAGACTCCCTATGAAAAATGCATATTTTTTTGGTGGGGGATTCGTTGTGATAGCATTGCTTTGGACCCGGGTCACGGGCTCGTGACATCTTCAAGCTCGCCACTTCGAGGCCGAGCTCCAATGACACCGGCCATGCGCCCAGGAGGAGTTTCTTCAAATCTTTGACATATGACAACTATCCATCGCTTCATCAGTAGTTTGAGAAGCATGACTGGCAGCCAGCAGTTGGTCGGAAGATGTCGGAGGATGATTACAATGGCACACTGGTGCATGTTTCAGGTCCCAAATGCATACGCTGTTGCCCACCAAACGCTCCGAATCTCTGAACATGTGTTTTATCATGACGTTAGATATCCACAATTTACAATTCTCCATGCAGCGGATATATATACCTAGATCTTCCAACTCTGCAAAATGTATGCCTTTTGGCTGGTTTTATACACTAAATGGCATAAATTTTGCATAGTTGGAAGATCTAGGTATATATATATATATACATGCATGCATGTACCATGTAATAATATCTAAAGATCTATCTACTATATCTTTGAATTACATGTAGACTTCAATATATGTATATATATATATTACAACCTCTAAGACCATTTAGCAGCAGTACAGACCCATTCACTCGATGGTCTTCACTTCTCTCTCACCCACTCTCAGGCCCAGCTCCGCCTGGCGCCAGCGCTCGCGTCGCGGCTCGCGGCGCCGCTTCCCGCCGCGCCCGCCCGGGCGCCCGCCTCGTCCCGAGGCGGGGCGCCCCGGGGACGAGGTCTGAAGACGAAGTGGAGTGGACCAGAAGGCATGGTTTGTGCGGTCTTCCAGCTTGAAGAACCCCATAGACTATCCTATAGGTACCCTTGTAGGGTCCTATGAGGTCACTTAACCTCTGTAGGTTTTCCTCAGAAAGGAGTGTTTTTTTTGGCTTTTGCCCTGGGGGCTGATACGGAGGTTTCAAGTACATGGCACTGGCACCCCAAGAGTCCTGCAGATGGGACTGCATAAAGAACCAGTGACCTTGGGGATGGTGCCCTGTCAAACCATTTGAAACCAAGGAGCATTTTGCTTCTTGTTTTCCTGTTCTCCTGCCTCTAAGACCATCCAGTGAAGTTGCCACCTTCAATGCATCCCTAAACTCTAAACTCTTCGCCTTCACCGATTGACACAACTGAGGTGCTTTGGGTGGAGTGGCACCGGCAGGCGCCGATCGAACGTGCCCGGCGTCCGGAGAGGGAGACCACCGAAGCCAAAGGCACCATTCTCTTGAATCAACATATAACATCACCAGAATACTTTCCACTTTGTTAGGAGAGCAAAGTAGTTGGACATGGTCCATGGTAGTTGGGTGATTGATGTCATTCCGATCCCAGTGACCCAATTTCGGGAACCAGCGACCAGACGGTCTATGGTCGCACGGGGTTTAGGTCGTCGAGGTCGTCGAGGTGGACATCGGACTGTCTGGAACGACCAGGTGGAACAAACACGGCAACTTCCAGGACACCCTAAGGCCCTAGAGGCCCTAGAGGGGCTTCGAAAATTCAAGTTCGCCCCTTCATTAGATGATATTAGATGTGATTCGGGACACTCCATAGCATTTTGGAGCGCGTGGGTCCTGGTATAGTCCTTCAACAGTGTAAGTCCTATCTCCCATGACACGGGCGGACCGGTGGCACTGGAAGATCATGCCGCAGACCCAAACCACGTGAAGCCCAAATGCAGTTGGCCTTGATGCAACACGTTTGACCCCCCAAAACCACTGGGATACCCCCAAGGTTGTGCAAGAGTTGGCAACATGTTAGCTACTTCGGCTACTCTGGTACTCACCCACAAAAAGACTCCATGTCGTGAGAGAGGTTGGAAGAGATGAAGCACGTGAGAAACAACAACGACGAAAGAACGACAAGAAGCGAAAGGTCCAAAACCGATGTCTTGGTATCAGAATTGCATCTTCCAAAGAAGCCAGTGTTGGACAGCAAAAGGTGAAGTAGCTCATTGTTGTGGTCTGGTCACCCCTTATGGTTTACAAAACCCCTCCAACCCGTTCTTGGAAGCTGGAGTGCTCGAAAATCACCGAGTGAAGCGAGAAGTGTGGAACATTGGGCAGGAAGCCAGCAGTGTGAAACTCCAAGCTCTCATCAATTCGCCGGCCCTGCAGCCTTTGATTTCGTGAGAGACAAGCATACCTGTAGATCGGGTTCATGTCGCTCGGTGCAGAGTCACCCGCTTCCGACGCAAGCCCTGTGAGCACTTTGGATGCTGTTTTGGGAAGTTTGTTTTTTTTGTTGCGGCTGGCGAGGCGAAAGTCGTTGTGGGCTGTTGGTCACCGAGCATCGCTGAAGGATTTGTTGGATGTTCAGTTTGATCTCAAGGCACTTCCAGATCAAACGCAGAGAGGGCCTAATTTGAAGCACTGTTACTCCACTTTGGGCTGTTTCACCCACCCAAAGGTTTTAACATAGACCAACACCATTTCCCAGAGATTTCTCATTGTAAGGCAACCTTGAACACACCCACTTACTCCAAAGGAAGCAAGATACACCTGACCGCCTGGTGTTTTTCCAAGAGAACATCAATTTCCTTAGACTTTACATGACTTTTCGATGTCGGTTTCTCGCTTCAGTTCCTCATCCAGGTCCTTTCATCAGGTGAGTCGAAAAAAATAAAGCCCGGTAATATGTATTAAGTAAGGAAGGTTCCCAGAGGTTCAGAAATCGCTTGGCCACCGCTTGGTATTCTGGTGTTTAAAGTGGATATGTTACCTCGTCGCGCTAGCAAAACGGTTGCGCTAGGTTCGCGCTAGGTTTGGCGCTAGGATCAAGTACTTAGGTACAGTAACTTAGATAAGATTAACAAACAACACATATATATAGTGGCGGACTACCACTTAGAATTGTCAAATGTTCTAGGGATGCACTTAGAATTAGATTGTTCTCTACAGATAGAATGCAATTGGCGCTTTTTAGTAGTTAGAATTGTTTTTCAAGGATTATGCACTTAGAATTAGCAAAATAATATGCAGTTAGAAATGACATTCCATTGATCCAACATACATGCAACCCATGCACTTTACCAGCAAAAAAACGACCAACAAAAACGCTGCCTTTCCTTTTTCCCGGTCGAAACGATGAATTCCAGATGCATTTGGAACTGATTGGCTACTTTGAAGGGCAGGCTAATCCTGAACATTAAAAATAATTCTAACTGCATTCAAAATTAAGTGTTCAAACATATTCTCAAAGGAACAAACTGGTCGCCTATCATATACCATCCATCTAGAAACCAAATCTACACTTTGTTGTGAACACCCGTCCTCCAGTTGTGAATGTAGCTCGGACAAATTCATTGCAACTAGAAACGCGCCGGCCAAAAAAAGCGCAAACCTTAAATAGAAAATTGTTGCTGTTTGAGAAAGCTAAGCATCACTTGCTTGCATTGATGGGGTTCTACCCTTATCTTTACACTCTGCCCTTCCTCTCTTTCCTCAAATCCTTTCTTCACTCAAGCACCGCAAGCTGCGAGTCATTGGACGCTCTCATGTTTTGGCAAACTCGGGTAATCGTGCAACCATGTGACAATTTTAATTCTATGTGTGTTGATTCTATGTGGATGTTTTAATTCTATGTGCGACGTTTTTTCTCTTCAGACAATTCTAACTGCTTTTTCAGTTTTCTAGCAAGTCCTAGGTTGCTAGCTCTTTTTTTCCTCACTAAAAATTCTAACTGCTAGTCTACCACTATATACATGTATTGGTCACTAAACTTGTTGATTGGTCATACGGCACACACACACACACCCGCACCCGCACAGACCCACACCACCGGCGATCCAATCCAACTCGCCCACATCGGCCGCCATCATCGCAAACATCCAACACAACGTACACTGGACACTAGCGACATCACCACTATCGTAGCACTAGCTCTCGATTCTTGCATTTTTAAGGCTTGCACACTACTTCCGGCAGGTTCGCGGAGCCGGGATTGGCTCCCAGCTTTCTCCTGCGCTGTGCAATGTCGCTATCACCCTCATCCGGCGGGGCTTTGTATACACAAAAAGGATAGGAAAACCATTAACCATATCTTGACAACTTGTTTCTGGGTGCAAGAGGACGGCTACTTTCAGCTTGACATTTGAAACAGTTGGACTCTGTAAGTAAGAATGCAGCAATTAAAAGGGCATGCACAACATACAACCATATACATGAGCGCGTGTTGTGTACATGGTAGCCACCGCTTGGAATTGCTGTGATTTCAACCTGGGATATATAATGATTTTAGAACGGTTTTTTCATTTTTTTCAACTCAGGTGTGGTCGGACGAACATCCACCGCTCGGAGCCGGAAAATGATGTCCAACAAATCCATAGGAGGCGTACAAGGCGAGGCAAACTGTTGAACACTCAGCAACACTCACTGTTTGTGTTTGTTTTTGCTCTGTACGGTAGGGACAGGTTGCCGTCTCTTCCAGATATCTACCAGATTATGACTATATTGTGTGGGTATCTACCAGATATGTGGATATCTAAACGGTTCCAAACAGATATCTACCCAAAACCTACGCGGACTTGCACATTGAGTTATGTGGCATAGGGGTCTACATGTTTTTGATGTTTTTGCCCCGGCTCCAGCATCTGAGGCCCTGAGAGCGCTGGCACTACATGTGTGCCCTCAGAGCATGGGAACCTTGTGCTCCAAAGTCTTGACGTTTTGGCAACCTCAAAGGGACGTGTTTTGGGGATGCCCCGTACTACATCCCAGGGAGACTACCCAGTCAGGCGTGTTCACCATAGCCTGACTGGGTGGTGCTAGAGCTTCAGATGCTTAGTTTGAAAATCCTTGAAAGACCAGGTGCAGTACCAGGCCGTCTTTTTTTTCAGAACCTTTGCGTCTGTGGGTCGATGGGGGTCAGGGACAAAAACAAGACTGGCTCTGTGTGATCTGTCACCACTTTCCCAGTGGATCCGGTTACGATGTCGCTGGTCACCCCGACGTGGGGCACCAAGTCGGTTCCGTCGACCCGTCGTCACCCTGGCCGACCCGACGCCGTGGTGGGTGTTCGGGAGTCGAAGAGGCGAGGTTTGGTCGTTCATTGAAGAGGTGATCCCTTGCAGAGGGATCAGTTTAAGGCTTCACTCAGCTGAATCCAAGCTGGCACAGGTGATCCAGCTGGCACAGGTGATCCAGTTTCACACAGGTGATCATTTGAACGCTGGTTTCAATTGAATTGAATCCAGCTGGCACAGGTTTTTTTTGCCTCATGGTCGTTGAGTTTCGCCAAACTGTGGCTTTGGGTGCCCAAGATGTTCTTGATCAGCTCGATCTGCCCGCGATGTCTTGGGCAGATCGAACGAAAGATCCACAGAAAGCATGGCATGACCCCTTCTAGTTGAAGATCCGCTGGACCATGCCCATGCCATGTCCACAAAAGGGGTACTTTCTTGACTCTTCAATCAGTAAAATGCCATATATATCACATTCACACTACACTAGTACTATATATGAGAGGCAGAAACATCGTCCAAAGAAGATTTACGGAACTAACATGTTTTTCTTGTCCGCATGACAAGACATCAATCACATGTTCCACAACTATAGCTGGTGGTTAGGAGGGAGCGACTGCCAGGGGCATTTGTATTCGAAGCAGGAGCCGTGAACGAAGTACATGATGTTCTTCAGGGAGAACTTGAAAAGCAGAAAGCTCACTCCGACCTTTCCGTTCGTTGAAGCATGGACAGCGCACCAAAGGGGTGCACATTCAGCTTGGTCCAACCAACCCGCGGAGAAAATCGGGCCTCCCAGGAGCTGTAAGCCGTGGAGTAAGGACCCGAGCGAGCGGAAGAACGCGGTGACACCAGTCGGAAGCAAAGGGGGTCGCTGAACGTCACCAGTTTTGAACCCATTTTAACCGCTGAGATCCACTGGGCATTCGATTTTTCGAAGTGTGTGTGTTGATTTTTTAACTGGCACCGAGTTCCTTGATTCCGGAGCAGCTGGATGGACGTCACAGAATCATTCAGCTAATATACCGTACTAGTTTCTCCAACGTCCCAGAGCTTGGGCCTGGCGGAAGCTGGAGCTCCGATCTAAGGGGCGGACCCCAGTAGAGGTCAATATGCCAGTTCCACGGAGTGCTTGGGAAAATCAATGAACATCAGTTGTGATCCCATGGTCCGATGCGTTCTTCCCTAGGACTTCGCGTTTC